CAGCTTGGGGCAGATGGGGGTCTTCCAGCTTGGGGCAGATGGGGGTCTTCCAGCTTGGGGCAGATGGGGGGGGGTCTTCCAGCTTGGGGCAGATGGGGGTCTTCCAGCTTGGGGCAGATGGGAGTCTTCCAGCTTGGGGCAGATGGGGGTCTTCCAGCTTGGGGCAGATGGGGGGGGTCTTCCAGCTTGGGGCAGATGGGGGTCTTCCAGCTTGGGGCAGATGAGAGTCTTCCAGCTTGGGGCAGATGGGGGTCTTCCAGCTTGGGGCAGATGGGGGTCTTCCAGCTTGGGGCAGATGGGGGGGGTCTTCCAGCTTGGGGCAGATGGGGGTCTTCCAGCTTGGGGCAGATGGGGGTCTTCCAGCTTGGGGCAGATGGGGGTCTTCCAGCTTGGGGCAGATGGGGGTCTTCCAGCTTGGGGCAGATGGGGGTCTTCCAGCTTGGGGCAGATGGGGGTCTTCCAGCTTGGGGCAGATGGGGGTCTTCCAGCTTGGGGCAGATGGGGGTCTTCCAGCTTGGGGCAGATGGGAGTCTTCCAGCTTGGGGCAGATGGGGGTCTTCCAGCTTGGGGCAGATGGGGGTCTTCCAGCTTGGAGCAGGTGGGGGGGGGGTCTTCCAGCTTGGGGCAGATGGGGGTCTTCCAGCTTGGGGCACATGGGGGGGGTCTTCCAGCTTGGGGCAGATGGGGGTCTTCCAGCTTGGGGCAGATGGGAGTCTTCCAGCTTGGGGCAGATGGGGGTCTTCCAGCTTGGGGCAGATGGGGGGGGGGGTTTTCCAGCTTGGGGCAGATGGGGGTCTTCCAGCTTGGGGCAGATGGGGGTCTTCCAGCTTGGGGCAGATGGGGGTCTTCCAGCTTGGGGCAGATGGGGGTCTTCCAGCTTGGGGCAGGTGGGGGGTCTTCCCCACTGTATACTGGGTCTTCCTCACTGTATACTTGCAGACCCCCCCCCCCCTTACCTGCTCCAAAAGCTTGGAGCAGGTGGGGGTCTTCCAGCTTGGAGCAGGTGGGGGTCTTCCAGCTTGGAGCAGATGGGGGTCTTCCAGCTTGGAGCAGGTGGGGGTCTTCCAGCTTGGAGCAGGTGGTGGTCTTCCAGCTTGGAGCAGATGGGGGTCTTCCAGCTTGGAGCAGATGGGGGTCTTCCAGCTTGGAGCAGGTGGGGGTCTTCCAGCTTGGGGCAGATGGTGGTCTTCCAGCTTGGGGCAGATGGGGGTCTTCCAGCTTGGAGCAGGTGGGGGTCTTCCAGCTTGGAGCAGATGGGGGTCTTCCAGCTTGGGGCAGGTGGGGGTCTTCCAGCTTGGGGCAGGTGGGGGTCTTCCAGCTTGGAGCAGGTGGTGGTCTTCCAGCTTGGAGCAGGTGGTGGTCTTCCAGCTTGGGGCAGGTGGGGGTCTTCCAGCTTGGAGCAGGTGGTGGTCTTCCAGCTTGGAGCAGGTGGTGGTCTTCCAGCTTGGGGCAGGTGGGGGTCTTCCAGCTTGGAGCAGGTGGGGGTCTTCCAGCTTGGGGCAGGTGGGGGTCTTCCAGCTTGGAGCAGGTGGGGGTCTTCCAGCTTGGGGCAGGTGGGGGTCTTCCAGCTTGGAGCAGGTGGTGGTCTTCCAGCTTGGAGCAGGTGGTGGTCTTCCAGCTTGGGGCAGGTGGGGGTCTTCCAGCTTGGAGCAGGTGGTGGTCTTCCAGCTTGGGGCAGGTGGGGGTCTTCCAGCTTGGAGCAGGTGGGGGTCTTCCAGCTTGGAGCAGATGGGGGTCTTCCAGCTTGGAGCAGGTGGTGGTCTTCCAGCTTGGAGCAGGTGGTGGTCTTCCAGCTTGGAGCAGGTGGTGGTCTTCCAGCTTGGGGCAGGTGGGGGTCTTCCAGCTTGGAGCAGGTGGTGGTCTTCCAGCTTGGAGCAGGTGGTGGTCTTCCAGCTTGGGGCAGGTGGGGGTCTTCCAGCTGGGAGCAGGTGGGGGTCTTCCAGCTTGGGGCAGGTGGGGGTCTTCCAGCTTGGAGCAGGTGGTGGTCTTCCAGCTTGGAGCAGGTGGTGGTCTTCCAGCTTGGAGCAGATGGGGGTCTTCCAGCTTGGGGCAGGTGGGGGTCTTCCAGCTTGGAGCAGGTGGTGGTCTTCCAGCTTGGAGCAGGTGGTGGTCTTCCAGCTTGGAGCAGATGGGGGTCTTCCAGCTTGGAGCAGATGGGGGTCTTCCAGCTTGGAGCAGGTGGTGGTCTTCCAGCTTGGAGCAGGTGGTGGTCTTCCAGCTTGGAGCAGATGGGGGTCTTCCAGCTTGGAGCAGATGGGGGGTCTTCCAGCTTGGAGCAGGTGGTGGTCTTCCAGCTTGGAGCAGGTGGTGGTCTTCCAGCTTGGAGCAGGTGGTGGTCTTCCAGCTTGGGGCAGGTGGTGGTCTTCCAGCTTGGAGCAGGTGGTGGTCTTCCAGCTTGGAGCAGGTGGGGGTCTTCCAGCTTGGAGCAGGTGGTGGTCTTCCAGCTTGGAGCAGATGGGGGTCTTCCAGCTTGGAGCAGATGGGGGGTCTTCCAGCTTGGAGCAGGTGGGGGTCTTCCAGCTTGGGGCAGGTGGGGGGTCTTCCAGCTTGGAGCAGATGGGGAGTCTTCCAGCTTGGAGCAGATGGGGGGTCTTCCAGTTTCGGGCAGGTGGTGGTCTTCCAGCTTGGGGCAGGTGGTGATCTTCCAGCTTGGGGCAGGTGGTGGTCTTCCAGCTTGGGGCAGGTGGTGGTCTTCCAGCTTGGGGCAGGTGGTGGTCTTCCAGCTTGGGGCAGGTGGTGGTCTTCCAGCTTGGGGCAGGTGGTGGTCTTCCAGCTTGGGGCAGGTGGTGGTCTTCCAGCTTGGGGCAGGTGGTGGTCTTCCAGCTTGGGGCAGGTGGTGGTCTTCCAGCTTGGGGCAGGTGGTGGTCTTCCAGCTTGGGGCAGGTGGTGGTCTTCCAGCTTGGGGCAGGTGGTGGTCTTCCAGCTTGGGGCAGATGGTGGTCTTCCAGCTTGGGGCAGATGGTGGTCTTCCAGCTTGTGGCAGATGGTGGTCTTCCAGCTTGGGGCAGATGGTGGTCTTCCAGCTTGTGGCAGATGGTGGTCTTCCAGCTTGTGGCAGATGCTGGTCTTCCAGCTTGGATGAAGAGATTGGATTTTACATCAACAAACATGTTGTTTCCCAGCTTGAAGGAGACGGGATCTTGCAGCTTGAAGCTGTTTAAAAAACGCGAGATTTGGTGACATAAGACAATGGGTGTATTAGAATAGGTCTAACAAATTATAATAAAATTGTCCAAGTTCTCGTAAACGAGACAGTGAAACGTGAATGTTTTGACCGTAGAGTTTAATGCTAGCTGTTTTGTACAGTGTAGCTGTATAAATGACAAGGTACCTTTGTATCACTCTTGTGAGGCTCTGTGTTACTCTTCATTGACCAAGTGCCGGATCAACCGGGCTGTGGTGGATATGTGGGCCTGCGGGCAGCTCCAAGCAACAGCCTGTCGGGCCAAGCTGTCACAAGTCAGGCCGGGGTTCAGGAGTAGAACAACTCCCAGAACCCTATCAAGCAGGTATATATACTGTAGGGCAGCTGAATAAATGACCAGATACCTTGCGCCGCTGATGTTATCCTGTCAATGTGTACCAGTAGCGATAGGGTTTGGGGGTTGTATCTACTTAAAACATTTGTCTCCTTATTCTGACTGCTGCATTGAGCTACTACATGCTTTTGCGTGGTCCTTGAGGCATACGTAGCCCCATCCCAAACCACCTTGCATATGTTTGAATTAAAGTCGAGCTGGTATTTCTCTCTTGCTCGGATTGTTCCGGACCACTCAGAAGCTTTTATGTAATCATTCGAATTATAAGTTGTCTATCATCGGTAAACACTAGACGATAGAGAGCAGTATAATATTCCCTCAGTTAAGTCATTGGCATGTATATAGAAACAGTAGTGTGTGTGTGTGTGTGTGTGTGTGTGTGTGTGTGTGTGTGTGTGTGTGTGTGTGTGTGTGTGTGTGTGTGTGTGTGTGTGTGTGTAACATTCCTCCCGAGAATGATAGTATCGATGGCGACTGTCAATGTTATACAAGAAATATGAACTGTTGCCCCTAAAATAGTCCTAATTTTCTACTACCGTTTACAAGAGGGCATAATAATAATAACTGCATAGTAACCATCCAGTAATCTAACCTACCGCAGGTCTAAATAAGCAATTAGAGGCGCTATACATACGCAATCGAAGGCCTAATTTACTATATATACTCTACTAGGCTTAGGAAAAGGTAGGTTTAGTGGTTGTCTTTTTAATCTGCTTCTCAACAAAATTCCAAATAAAAAACATGGGCTATTTTTGTGGATACAATAGAACATCTTTTGTACCTGTAATCCAGAGAGGGTACAGGTAAAATCATTATTGGCGAGTGTTTGAGGGGGGGGGGGGCAGGATGGTTGGACGCGCGTGTGTACGCACGCACGGACCTGCATGGATCATGGTGTAAAGAGGAGCTTTGAGCAGGTCCGGAGAGCGAGGGCTTAAGCCAGGATTAGTGTAAGCCAGTAATGGGTCAAGCGCTGGGCCTACACCCCGCCTACACTCCTCCTCACTCCACACACACCCTTAACCCCCCCCCTCATACCCCGCCCCCTTAACCCCCCCCCTCACACCCCGCCCCCTTACCCCCCCCCCCCACACCCACACACATTCCCTACACCCAACGACCGTGTGCGGTAAACCGGGGTTGCATAAGATAAGCACATATTCAGGTCATTACAGGTCATTCATTGCATGAACTCCCATGCAATGAACCCTAGCAATTTGTGCCAATCAACTATGAATAGTTTACTGCCAGCATTGTAATCAACACAGTGTATAGATTGCCAGTATTTTACTAACCTTCATGATGTATATTAACTATTTTAATGTTTATTTTAGATTAAGGTAGTGTTTTTATCATTGTATAGTTCATGTGCCCGTATTGTAATGTGTGTGAACTATAGGCCTACATAGGCAGTAAATCAGTGTGTGTAGCGACTCATCGGTGTCCTGGGTTCTCCCTCAGGTTCGCGTGATGGAGCGGAGGCTAGAGTGGAGTGCTGGCGGTGGAGGCAGCGACGGTGGAGGCAGCACTGGAGGCGGCGACGCTGGCGACGACATTGACGACCTGCAGGTGGAGATGGTGGAGAAGGAGGCTGTTATCACCACCCTCTCAACCCAGGTAGAAGAACAGGTGAGTAGTGCACGCCAAGGATGTGAATCAGTGAGGTGAAAGAGACAGGGCAAGGAAAGGTACCTGGGATATGAGAGGGGGAAAGGGTGGAACAGAGGAACGCATGAAAGGGACTAGGGGTTCGTGAGCGGAAGATAAGGGTAGAAAAAAAGGCCTCAAGCTACTCTATCCTTTTCAGATGTATCTTATTGTCTCAATAAACGTACTTGAACTGGAAGGTTAGGGTGAGGGTGAGAATGAGGGGTGGAGGGAGTGTGAGGCAGGGAAAGGTAAGGAAAATACTGTGGAAGCAAGAGCGGGAGGACCAGACAGTGAAAGGTAAGGGATACACAGGGAGGGAAGGAGGGAGGGGGTGTTTGGAAGATAAAGCAGAGACCCGGAGCGGGTCACCGACTGACTGAGAGTGGGGAAGAAAGACTGGAGAAAAGAGGAAATGCAGTGAAGAGTAGAAATGGGAGTGCACGAGAGAAAATAAATGGTAGGAGTGACGAAAGGAAAAAATACTACATAGAAGCGGGGGAGAGAGAGAGAGAGACACACACACACACACACACACACACACACACACACACACACACAAGAAAGATATGGGTAAGAGTACGGATGGGGAGGGAGAAATGTACAAGACTGGACTACAAGTCGGTACCAAGCACACATACTCTACCCCAAAGAATGACCCGGGCTTGGGTAACTAGGAACTCCTACCAAAACACCATCCAGGTACACCCCTCAGTCTCACAGAAACTATCGCCCACTACAACTCCTCGACTACTGCCAAAACTGGCCGAACCATTGCCCAAAACACCACTCCCTGGATCATGACGGAGAGGGAGAAGAACTTTTAAAAATAACCAGAAGTGACGCGTAATCTGGCAAATTGTTCATATTTGCAAACATACAAGGCCTCGAGTCAAAAATCAGGAAAACAGTTTTCATAAATGGCCTTCTAATAGTCGAAGCATTCACAGAAACCCATACGAAAGATTACATGGATAGTGAAATTTGAATCCCAAATTATAAACTACTGGAGGAGTTGGTTGGCGATTTAGAGGTGCTGATTGGCAGATAGTAACGGTGAGAGCTGCAGAAGGCGCGTAAATAAGAAGAAAGTCGACGGTATCAGCGTTGTCGGGCCCCTGACATGGATGAGTCGGTTGGCTTGGAGGGGAAGCTTCGGAAACTGGCGGGCTGGAAGCGGCGGGGAGAGGTCCATTATCTTTCTCGTGGGAGGAACTATTTTGTCCAGGTATTGCCATTTTTTTGCGTTGGGGGCCTCGCGCCTCCAGATCTGGCGCCGTTTTGACCCGTTATCGTTTGGGAAGTTATTTGTGAGATGATATTTGAAGGTGCACAGCTGCTGGCGAAGACTGGCTCGACTGGAGATGGGGAGGGGACGAGGACTGGCTCGATTGGAGAGAGGGGGGGGGGCGAAGACTGGCTAGATTGGAGAGGAGGGGGGGGGCCAAGACTGGCTCGATTGGAGACGGGGGGGGGGAAGGACATTGTGTGTTAGTAATGGGAGAAATTATGGGAGTTTCAGGCTGTATATGTCAGTATTTTACAACTATTATATTTCTAGGAGCCTCATTATTAATATTTTCTTAGTTACCATTGTGACCTTTGTTCTTCCTCCTCCTCCTCGTGGTGTTGTGTAGTGCGTCTCTCACCACGAGCTGTGTTCCTCAGGTTCACACAACATTGGCATGTGAGGAGAAGGAAGAAAAGAACACTGTTTAACACCCATTAACTGGCTTTGTTTACTCTCCCCTCACCTTGCAGAGACAACTTCGGCTGCAGGACGCGAAGAAGGTGGAGGCGAAGGCGGCCAAGATCAAGGAGTGGGTCACCAACAAGCTCAAGGAGGTAAGATATAATCCTTCGTTCTAGTTTACCATATTAATGTTCTGCATTCAGGTTAGCCATGTTGGCTCCTCTGTGTCCTTCATACACACAGTGCACGAAATGATCAACTGATCACATAAATGCAAAATTACCCCACATTTAAAAAGTTGAAAATATTCCAAAAAACGTTTTCAACCCAACTGTCTTCATTGGCAGTATTGACGCTATCCCAGTTGGGTTGAAACGTCTTGGCAGTATTTTCTCTTTCAAATGAGGTTATTCTCCATATATAATTATGTGATGACGTGAGAAGCAACTGTTAAACCCGTCGTTGTTCAGTCCTCGTGTATGTTGACGCATCTTATCACTAGGACATCTAACCAACACAATTTCAAAGTATAATGAAATTATGAAGGTTTCGTTGGTGGGAAGCAGGAGTCACGTCAGCATCCTGCATTTAGTACAGTAAACATGAGGGAGGGAAGAGTGCGCTTTCAGCCAGATATATGGTAAGGTTTTGGGGGTCGAAATAAAAGTGAAACGATGAATTCTGGAAGATGTAAAAGTGACAATCGCCTCCCTCGAGCACCCTCTCTCTTTCCTGGTCTCCATCATAACCCGCCCACCATCTCCCCTCACCATCTCCCCTCACCAACCACCTAGCTTCCTGCACCTCAAGCTCACCATAAGAAAGTCACCCATTTAATAAGTGCACGAATAATACAGCCCGCACTGTGAGATGGCCGAGGCTGCTCCAATAAACCAGAATCCTGGTAGGGAAGGAAGCCATTGAGTGAACAATGCATCCAGAGGAATATGTCGGGTTTGTGACGCAGATCTCTGCGTCAAGATCAATGGACCTTTACACAAACATAATGGCTGTGAGGGCTCATGGACGGTACCTATGGAGAGGAGAGACCCACGGGTCCCTCAGGCAACCCAACACGTCCCACAAATTTCCTGTCATCAGTTGACCTTTTAGGGACAATCAAAGCATCTACCTCTGGAACATTTCCCCAAATGCGAAAAGCAACGCGCCCTTTGCATCAGGAAAATTTTAGAGACTTCCTCAGGAAAGTGGTGTACGGTGTGCAAACCTTGATGGCCCCAGGCATCATCGATGCTTTAACTATTACCTCCCCTTTTGGCAATATTTATTTAGCCGTGGCTGCAAGGAGAGGCAAGTCGGTACCTTCATCAGTCACGAGATCCATAAATAATGTCCCTAGAGCTGACAACTTGATCCCTATGAACGCAAAAACCACCGCGGCGGATCTAATAACAATTCTAATGAAAGCCTGAAAATAGGAACCCACGTGAGTAAACAAAATTGAAAGGGCAACATAGAAGAAGAACAGTTACGATATTTACTAGTAGAAATGCACTTGCACCTAGAGATACTGCCACATCCAGTTACCTGGGAGACGCACCCTCCCAAAGCAGATCCTTCTCTGGACACAAGTGTCCCAGACGTTGGATCACTATTCCTTCCAGGGGTCAGAAGCATGCGAAGCAATCGTGTCATTTCCGTCAAGCTTCACAGTGAGGTACACTGGTGTTAGACCTCTCGCTCCGGCATCTTCGGGGACCGAATGCCATTGATGTAAGCCTCTAAGAAAAGCTGAACGACTCGAGGAGAATGAAAGAAAATAGGTAATTTGGATGCCCGGGTGCCTGACATTGCCCGGGCTTCCTTATTTCTTAAAGTGTGCATACTCTTTTGATAAGCAAAAATTAACAATGACAAACGCCTAAAAGTAATATCCATGAAAGTGTTGAACCTCTCCATGAACGCTGTCCAATGGGACCAAGCAAAGCTACCATAAGCCTTGATGGTATAGGTCTAAGCAAGGCAACACTTATAGCATTGCCCGTATTCATATCCTCGATCAGTGCTACGAGTGCATTAGTGAGGGAAAAAAACCTGCCAGTGCGCTTATGAGCCTTCAATGGATTTAGAGATCAAATTCACTGAAGGAGCCAGCCAGAGGGATACAGATGCAGGCTCTTCACCCCAACTACCATCTCCTAACGACTGCAAACTGACCAACTGGGATAGCCCCATGTTGAACATTGCCCAAACCAGGCTCCTTCGGCCCTGTTCTTCAACCAGGCTAATTCGCCCCTATGTCTTTATCCAACCACCTGGACTGGACGGTAGAGCGATGGTCTCACTTCTTGCAGGTCGGCGTTCAATCCTCGACGGTCCAAGTGATTGGGCACCATTCCTTCCCTCTATCCTAAATCCTTATCCCTTTCAAGTACTGGCTTAGTGCTTTGTCCTTATAATTACGTTACCCTCAACCAGCCCCTCCCCCAGCCTGCTCCTTCAACCAGCCCCCCCCCAGCCTACACCCTCAACCAGACTCCTCCAGCCTACTCCTGAGAGTAATGTAAGATAGACCATGAGGATTCTGTGGGCGGTGGGATACCTGAACACCGCCTGTGGAGGAGGACCCATAATTCAGCCGCGGCCGCCCTACAGATGGCGTCACCAGACCTCTTACTCCTATATTCGCTGATCTATATATTCCTTTATTCAGGCTAACCATAGCCCGTGCTTCTTGCCCCGCTCCTGTGCCAGGTAAGTTACGGGCTCACCATAGCCAGTGCTACTTGGAACTTGGTCCGTTTAGCTGAATCTATAACAACAACAACAACATTCCTTTATTCCTTTCGCTTATGGCACTTGCATCATTCAGTCATTATATGATTCACAAACATCTTGGTATTAGTGTATACCACTATATATTATTTTTTAAAGATACTAGTGACAATTTAGATAATGCCTCCGCCAAATGTTGCTACCACAAGGAGTATATGTAGATAACAAATTTAGTTACAATAAGCTACACAAAGGAAATAATAGCTGCTAGTTGGTGGTTGTAGTTAGTATTGATCCTCTCCTTCAGTGCCTGCAAGTTGTGCAGTGAGGAAGGCCTAGACAAGTTGAGTGCTGCCATTATTGACCTGTCCGAATATCTACATTTAGAGACTCTTTATTAAAAAATTTAATATTGAGTGCACTATCACTGCTAAATCAATTTCTTTGTCTAGCCTAGCCTATACCTGGTTGATACCTGGTTGATGGGGTTCTGGGAGTTCTTCTACTCCCCAAGCCCGGCCCGAGGCCAGGCTTGACTTGTGAGAGTTTGGTCCACCAGGCTGTTGCTTGGAGCGGCCCGCAGGCCCACATGCCCACCACAGCCCGGTTGGTCCGGCACTCCTTGGAGGAATAAATCTAGTTTCCTCTTGAAAATGTTTCTATGTGATAATGCCTATGTTTCAGATATTGGTACTGTTAATTATCACTGAATATTACGCCATATTTATTCAGTTGAGAGAATTACTGTTAAAGATTGACTAGCTAGTTTAATTATTGCTACAGACTGCACTTGCAACAAACCTCTTGGCCTATATTTATAGATATAAAGCCTCCTTTATATCTGGTTCTTCACAGAGTTAAGGCCTATGACATACATAAAGAAACTTTGATCTAGTCGTCTGTGTTACCCTCACCACACACACTCTTGATTATTTTGCTGTGATGTAGACCCGAAGTGTATAATTGTAACACTGTACAATTATACACTTCGATCAGTGCTATGTACCCTGATAGGACACTATAGTGACGCCTCTGTTTTGCAACCCGTCCTCAGACCAAGTTCATTCCATCCAGTGGTCGACCCCAAAGACGCATTCATCAGTTTTAACATGCTGTTCATTCAAAATAGGAAATGTTTTAAATATAAATTAATATTGAGATATATTAGCATACTGTGCATATTTAGGCATTGATTAAGTTAGGTGTTTAGGTTCTGTTGGCAATTATTTGTATTTGTAGTACGTGGGTGAAGCATTTACAGCGTTGTGATTCGAACAAAATTCGTCAGTGAAGCACTTGTTTTGGAAGTGTTCGAACGTCAGCAGTTGTGAGTCGTGTGTAACCCGTTTTTCATTCATAAACTGTGGGTTTGGCGGGTGCATGGAATGGACTTTGGCCTTTGTTTATGAGGACGAGCTGCATTGTGTGACTTGGCCAAATAAAGACCCAAACGTGATTCCATGCACCCGCCAAACCCACTGTTTATGAATGAAAAACGGGTTACACACGACTCAACTGATTTCGTTCGAACACTTCCGAAACAAGTGCTTCACTGACGAATTTTGTTCGAATCACAACGCTGTAAATGCTTCACCCACGTACTACAAATACAAATAATTGCCAACAGAACCTAAGCACCTAACCTTATCTATGCCTATATATGCACAATATGCTAATATTAATTATCATATTGTGCTATAATATTAATTTATATTAGAAAAAATTCCCGTTTTGAATGAACAGCATGTAAAAATTTATGAATGCGTCTGTGGGGTCGACCGCTGGATGGAATGGACTTGAGTCGAGGACGGGTTGGACTTAGCATTTCGACGTTTCGTTTGTTACTGTCGAGAGTGGTCTTGGTCGGGGATCGAAACATAGCAAGACATGGACCATGTGCTTCATTGTGCTATAATACACTTATAGGTCATGATTAACTCAAGCTTAAGTGGATATTTTTCCACAACTATTTCCTGTAGTGTTTGTGTGTACTCACCTAGTTCTGTTTGCGGGGGTTGAGCTCTGGCTCTTTGGTCCCGCCTCTCAACTGTCAATCAACAGGTGTACAGATTCCTGAGCCTATTGGGCTCTATCATATCTACATTTGAAACTGTGTATGGAGTCAGCCTCCACCATATCACTTCCTAATGCATTCCAATTGTCAACCACTGACACTAAAAAAGTTCTTTCTAATATGTGTGTGTGTGGCTGGGTATACTTAAAACATTGTATCGAGCGCTTGGTTGATGGTGATTATTTAGTGTGTATATTAAGAGGATCCTTACCACAGCTGGTTGTCCAGCAGAGTGAATACTGAGTCCAGTTACCTAATGCCCTGCAACTCTGTTGGTAGTCCAGCCGGGATCCCAGATGGGATCACCCCTGGAAAAAATGGGGAGACAGAAGCAGGCGTGAG